AGCAGTTTTCCTCTCTCTGTAAGCTTTGAGACAATCAGAGATGTTAAACAAGAAGGAAATCGGGTCTTCACCTCTCTTGGTTTTTAGGAAGAAAGGAAGGAGTATGTTGGTTAACACTTAAGGACCTTTTATGCATAGCACAAGAAATAAGGATGTTAAGCAATGGAGCCGTCACTGACAAGCACCAGAAAAAGCCAGAACCAGAGGATAACAATGAATATGTGGCCTCTTGGAACTCTTTTCCCTCAGAGATATCTCTGCCAAAATAGCTTCACTTACATTTGAGAACTTTACCGAAGAAATTATCAAGGACTTTCTGAAAGTGATTTTTCTGTATACTGTGTGTAAATCCACAGATGAAGATAACACTGAGGGATGGGCATTAGCGATGGAAAAGCCCTGCAAAAGTGGAAGATTCTTTTCTTTCCTAATCACTTGCTTGAGCTGTGCCATTAGTGAGGTCTCCAACCAGACAATACCTGTTTTGTTCTCCTGATTTTGACCTGAGTATAAAATATACTGTACCACACTACTTGCTAATACTGTAACAGATTATTTTTTACTTCTTCTGTTTCCCCACAGTACCTGGCAGCACTTCCCTGCACTCTCTCTTAGTTAAGGAGGTGGAAGGTCTGAACTGCTTATCAGATAAGTTGATGTAGATTCATCATTCTCCATCTCTATCCTGAAGAAGCAGTCACACATCTGATGTTAATCCTAAAACCATATTCTATATAATAAAATTTCTTGTGAAAACTCTCCCTACAGCATTGTATGTTAGAATGACAATATTAATCATCCAATGGCATTTGCACACCCACAGTATCATTTCCAAAATCCTTGCCAGTTTTCTTATGTGGAATCTGCTAGGTTTAATGAAGCTTTTAATTGACTGCATTAAACACCACCCCACCACCAGCCCCAATTCACAACATGGATATATAGTCCTTGTTAGAAGAAACACCCTTATATTTGGCAATAGGGCAACTTCCCAAGAGGGGTTTCCAAGTGTCTCTGACTTCTGTCAGTTTGAAATAGAACTACTGCGTCCAGAAGTGTGGAATTTCTTCTAATAAACATAAAGTAAGATCAATCCATCCAAAATCTAAGCCCACTTTAGTACCCAGCCACAGTTACTGCAGAACCCAGCACTCTGGCAGACATTTAAGGATGGAGAAGTGGAGGTAGATGTGTGTTAGTCACGTAGATGAAGGGTCAAATTACAGAAAGAAACCTATAAACCGAATTGCTTTCCATTCTTTTTCCTTTCCTCAGTTTATGCCACAAATGTACCACTTTGTGACAGAATGTTGGTTATTATTTTGTCTTTTTTCCCCTTGTATGTTAAATTTAATAGAAAAATCCAATTATTATGTAAAGAGAGCCTTGCTATAATTGTCACAAACAAGTTAGCATAACAATGAAGAGCAGCAACTTCCTGAAGTCAAAGAAAGTGCTGATTTATGAATGTCTCTGAGGTGTGATTGATATGGAATGTTCTGAAGCAATATTTTCAATGTTTCTTCTTCATTTTACAGCTGCTTCCTCAGATCATCCTAGCTGAAGCATGTTTGCAAAGGAAAGTTGCTTTGGAAGTGGGAACTTTCCACAAATTCATTTTCTTTTCTTTAAAAAAAGAAAAAAAAAAAAAAACAACCACCAAACTGAGCCTACAAAAGCCATTATTTAAACAACCTCCTTTTTGAAATGTTTCCGGCAGATGTTTATGTAGAGAATGTGCTGGAGCTCCTTCAGTAAGACACAGAAGTGACATTTCTTGAGGGTTTTAGCTGGAGAATTTGTCTTTCACATCATGTCTTTAAACATCTGCAAAAGGCAACAGAATCTTTATTATCCTGCTAACTTGAAGAAAGGCGCAATGCACAGTCCTGAGTCCTTAAAAAATGTTATTTAATGGGACTGACAGATGAGAAATATCCAGCGCTAATGTTTTCCTTCAGTAGAAATTCACCTCTTGACCTTATGACTCCAGAGTACGGCTGCTGCCTTCTAAAAAAGAATATTTCCTTCCATTCAGATGTGCTTTCTATGGTTTTGTTGTTTTGTTTTTCCTTATTGCTCAGTTATTTGCTTTAGGGGAAGGTATCATCATCAGGATTCAAGCAAAAATAAGATTATAAATACTGCAAGAGCACTTGTGCTAGGTCTGGTTTATGGCACTTGTGCTTCCAACCCTCTTTTAATTTCCTCAGTTAGATATTTTTCTTCTCCCTCACAAAAATCAAAGCTCCCTTTTCTTTTAAATGGATTTTCAAAGAGTGGTATAATTCAGCTTTCCTATTCCTTTGCTGGAGTTTGGTTATTTGCTGTTGTGCAGAAAATATGGACTGGGGCCATTGCTCAGGACTACTCAGGTTGGCCCTTCTACCTTACAAAATAACTTTTTAAAGAAGAATTCCATTTATCTTTTGGTTGTCTGGATGGTTTCCGGTTCAGGTTGGAGGGGGGCAAAGTTTGCCTGGGGGCTTTTGTATTTGGGCTCTATTGTATTTTGGTTGTTGAAGCTTTTTTCCCTCCTCCTCCTCCTTCTTCCTTTTCTCTTTCTCTTTTCTTTTTTTTCTTTTTTTCTTTTTTTCCCCTCCCTCAAGGGTTTTCTCTGGGAAAAGTTTTCTGGGCTTCCATCCAGCCAGTGTCACAATTCACAGCTGTACTGTTTGATTCAAGTACTTCAAGCTGCCAGTGAGGTAGAGCCAAATGAGATTAAGGGCTTTTTTATTAAAGCAAGCACCCGCATGTGCTGGTATGGTCGAGGCTACGTCAGGCGTTCCAATACGAACCCCAATTTCTGGAGACCTTTAGTTCTCAAACATAAAATATTTATGCCAGGCTGAAACCTGACCTAGATGTACTCATCTGGGAGGAGCTGTAACTCTTTGCAAAGAAACGGTTTGGCTTTTATTAAGTTACAGCTTCAAGAAAGGAAAATGTACTGTTTTCTGGATAAGCAGCTGAAAAAAAATATGAAAGTTTAGCTATGTATGTTAAAAAGAGCGACAGGCATAAATTAAATAGATCTTTTAAATGATGAATTTTAAGAGAAGGTATGTTTTAGGAAGCAGGAGATTAATCTGTGAGCTTCTTGCCCTGGCACATGGTGGATTTGAACCCTCCATGCTGGTCAAACTGGGACACTCCCAGCACTGCCTGCCACACTCTGCTCACCCCACCCCAAATGTCACCTCTGAGGCCCAACTATGATGCCCAACCATTTATATTACTCTTTTTGTTGGGATAAACTGTACAGAGTTATGTGATGTGAAACTAAATACCACTGTTACTTTTATTTCAGATGTGAGCCAAAATCTGAACCTGCATTTTCAGAGAGAAATGCATTTTTAAGCTCCCTTTCCTTTTGAAAAGCAACAGAATTAAAACAGTTCTTTTTAATACTGATTCTTATCTTTTGTGTCAACATTTCTGAAGATAAATGAATTAATATTTTAAACACAAGCATACATGTTTCAATGGAAAACCTGATGTGCTGTAGTAGAGCTGATCAAAAATGTTTGAAAAAATAAGGAAGAAAATAAGAAACTGTAAAGAAAAAAACCAATTCACCACTCTAAAATTATTTTTTCCGTAAGTTTGAGCTAACTATAAAGTGGATCAGAAGGTTTTGAAGGTTGCTGAGATTGCAAAACTTGAAATTCTCAGACAGAAGTAGCCTTTTGCAACCTAAGATTGCCCTCTGTCTTCCCATTTTGCCCCAGCTGGGTTACTAAGCATCACATGGAAACATAGAATCACATGAAGCCCTTTGTGCTTGGGATTGTCCTGACCCACATGCAGGGATACCCACATCCTCATCTCTGCTGCTCATGGAATCTTAGCAGCCTTTGAGACTTAAATGCCGATACACTGCTTAAGTCTACAAGACTTAAGAAGAAATCAAAGGCAGCCACATTAATATTCTGTGCAAATGTGAAGAAGCCATGAAAGCTTTGTTTGTTGCTAAAGAAACCAACTAAATCAAACAAGTTGAAGAAAACAAAGACTTGTATAATTGTTTTAATTAAAACTACCACTTATTCCAGAAAAAACTGCAGCACAGTCGTGCTCTCCAAACATGTCTTGCTTAGACTTGCATGCTCAAAAACGATGTTTAATAAGTGAAATAAAACATTGCCAGCCATTTTCCAGTCCCCTTTGACGCAAAAGCTCCAAAACAAATTGCAAGAAACCCATGCAAAACTTTGTGATGTTTACTTCAGATTTTATCCAAGAGGAATTTATGGAACTCGCCATTCAACTCCAAAAGCATGTTATCTCAAATGAAATGTAACGCTTCTTAAATCTTCAAAGAGCATCGTGGCATTTAGCCATAAAACTCACTGTGACTTTAGACATTCAAAAACAGCATTACTGCCACCATCAGACTGCCCTATATGGATATTTTAAACCTTCATGGGCACAAATTTGCTTTTTTGGGTCTGGGCCCTCTATACATTCGGTCTCTAGTAAATGGTAGAGAAGCCATAGAGCTCCTTTGCCTTTCACTGGCTGCTTATCCCCTTCACCTCTTCCCACTCCACAAGAGTACTTTGGCATCTCAAAATAAGTCAGATACAGAAGGGATCGTTGTAGTTTCTCAGCTCCTGGAACCAAGCCTCTGCTTTTTAATGCAAAGTATGAATGATATAAATACATCTTAATTTTAATTGAAGGAGAATGTCTGACCTTTCTACAAAATAGTGTCACATAAGGTTCCTGTATTTCTTGTGACCTTTCCAATGCTCATTAGGCTGTTAAGCATGCAAGTTCAGCTTAAATTTGAAATATTTTGTCTCCCTCGAATATAGACTGGCTTTCACTGCAAAATTTGGTCCCACATTTCACTGTTGGTATATGAATCCAGAACACTGTCACTGTGTGGTAAAGAGGCAGTTATAAAATCTGAACCACACTTGCTTTCTCCTCTCAAATAATCTGTTCAGATACTGCAGTTTTGCTTGAACATTTCTTTTATCTTCTTTTCTCAGCACTCTGGGAGCTCCTTATCTTCACCAATACTTGGATTTGTGTATGTGTATGTTGGGAACCATTTATGGTATGTATTAATTCATTATGTCATTTCAAAAATCTTATTTTTTTCCACGCTTCCTAAGCATTAGCATTTTTAAACTTGGGAGAGGGTGGGGGTGACTGTTAGAAAAATCCCACAGGAAGCCATAATTTATCGATGAAAGACTTGAAATTTTCTTCTAAACATGTTATGTTGACCTCTTTGGAGACTGTAAAGAAGCTTATGGTAACAGCTCTTTTTTGTCTTTTCTTTCCTTTTTTTTTTTTTTTGCAGTGGCTGAGTGACTGAAATAATTTGAAGTCTGTTTTTGCTAGAACCTGATCACCACCTGTTTGAGTGAAGAAACTGAGGACTGTTTGAAAGTAATGCCTTTGGCAACACATACACCTTGCTCAGTCTGTCTCACATCTTCGTCTTATCATATAAAAGGCTTTTCCAAGCGTTGCCTGAGAACAGTGAAAACCTCATTATGAGCTGAAAACTGTTGGGGATTTCAATGTTGATAATGAAAATCTTATTTATGGAATTGCTGAATAGGCATATAAAGTCTAAAAAGCAACAGCCTACTAGACAAAATAATAGTCCAAGGGAAAAGGAGTAATGTAACTATGTCATTCCTATTTTATAATGGCTTTTTCCCTGCATGGTCGTAATGAGAGAGAGTCAAAGAACTGTGAGATGCAATTGTTTCTGGCATCTCCCAGCCTGATTTCAGAACTCATGTGGGTTTCCCATGTCCAGTTGATATCTTGGTAGTATGCAAAAGGCGTGATCTGTCAGAGACTGCTGAAGATGTGGATGCATTTTTCTGCTCAACAGCCTTTAGGCTCATGTAAGAAAAAGTGCGAACCCTCATCAGCAAAGGAAGAAAAAAATAAGTATGTTTTCTAAAACACAGGCTAGGTTCTCTCATGAGTTGTGCTGTCTCTGTAATGCTACAGAAGCATGTGTGCTAAATACAGCCCTTCTGTGACTAAACCCATCAGATACATGTAAAGCTGAGATGTTTAGCAGGGAGATGTGTGTTGTAGGGGAATAAAGGCTACACAGTTTTCCAACTCTACTTCATTACATGCTTTTATTCCACTGAAATCAGTAATCATGTCAGAACAGAGCTAGTAAAATATGATGGGAAATAAGGGCCTTTAATACAAACCTCTCTGCCTGTCTGTCCTTTTATAAGGCACCTCCCAACATAGTGTCTGAGTGCAGAGTTCCTCACCCTCATCTGATTTAAAACTTAAAATGGATGCGGTGAAGACTTACCGTCCATAGTAAACTGCTCGAGATGAATCAGCTGTTCAGATTAGCCTCACAGAAATGATAATGGGGCTCTGTGTTCACAGCTGAGTTATTTAAACTGTCTGATTTGGTCCACAGCTTCCTTGGACATTAATAGGTTGACTGCTATGTCGCTGAACTTAGTGCATGGAAGGTCAGCCTTTGAAAAGCTAAATAAGGTAAGTGCAAACTGAAGCATGTTCCAGGCGATACCGCGCACTCTAAATGCACTTGAAACCCCTAAGAATCACTGCTGCTCCTTAGCATTTCTCCATATCTGATTTCAAAGTGGTAGATCCTTGGATCGATGCTTTGGTTTTGATCTCTCATCCACCAGGAGATTCGGGGGTTGCTCACATGTTACAAACATATGCTGCTCCTGATGCATCTTGAGCAAAGCGGATTGAAAACTTCTTAGAAGGCAGCTTTTCATCAGCAAACGCAGACTTAGATGAATTGGAAAGATTTCTCAGGACTACAGCAGTTTTGCTGAAATTGCTGAGAGGGAGCATTATCAGGCAAGGACACTGCTCTTCCATAAAGACAGAATGCTTCATTTGACTTCTGTTTGATGATATTGTAAATTCTGACTTGAAGCCATTAAGGCAAAATGAAGAATTCAAACAGTATCAAGATGGAATGTTTTCTACTGTCCCAAACAAAGCACAATTCAGTTTAAGTATCTGTGATGATCTCTACATTGTGGCAATCTCATTTTTGTGATACATGTCATCATTTAGATTATTACTCCTATTTGAAAGAAAAGCAAATTTTGACATGCTGATGTTTCCTCCAGACCCGGCAGCCCACGCGAGTGATTGGAAAAGTCAGAGTAAGAGCATCTCTCTTCCCTTTCCACAAGCCCTCACTTTGATGCAGGACTGTGGCAGGGGGGAGAGGAGGGAGAAAGATAAGAGTTAGTTTGTCATCTATAAATAGAGACAGCCCTTCACACTCACTTTCTTGAGAAGTCTTAGAGCACTAGGGGAAAGGAGAACAGAATAAATTGAAGAGATGCTGGGAAAGTTCTGAACATTTCAGAAATGTTCAAAAGCATTGGACTCTGGCAGTCCAAGTTTAGAGGCTTATTCTTTCAATAGACACCATGAATTAGTTTCTCAGGTTTAATTCTGTCCCGTGTCTACCAGCTGGAAGGTTTGTTGAGCAATAAGTGTAAATGTTTGTAGATCATAAATCACTGCCCATGGCATCCTTGTTTTCTACTGACCTGGTTGTAGTTACTACAAGTTTCTGATGCAGTGGTGCAAAATACCAGGCAGAATCAGCAGCTGGGTCCAGGCCTAGATTTTTAGATTGTGGGAATTACAAGCTGAAAAAGATTGTTGGGAAGTTTAGTAAAGGTGGGTTGTCATCACACTTTGACCTGAAATGGAATAAAACTGTCCACTGCTAAGGGACCTCATAGCAAAGCTGCCAACATTACTCAAAAGTATTTTTAAAAGAATTGTTTTATAAGGGCTTTACTATATTGGATTTCTTCCTGCTTCCTTTTTTTTTTTTTTTCCAATAGGTGAAGAGGATGTAGAAAATAGACCTTATATGGAAAACTGTGAACCCTATGGTGGCATCTGTAGTAAAGGATCATTTTGTGGGAGGTAGGCAACTAGGCCATTGCTGGTGTTGATTAAAAACAGTCTGATCTCATGTTAAAAAAGATAACAAAAAGCCTGTCCTCTAAACCAACAAGCAAGTGATACCCAAGCCAGGAAGCTCAAAATCAACAAAATAAACCTTATTCCAAAAGCTGGGTTTGGTTATTAATTGACTGATTTCCTACCAATAAGAGCACACTTTCAGGCTGGTGGGCTTGATGAGAGGTACTTGAAAGCCCAAACTGAACAAGCATGTGAAATATTTAAGGCCACATTTTTATATTTATTAAAAACAGCCTAAATAATTAAACTAGTTGATTCACTAGTGGCTTTCAGGCTCATGCCCAGAGTGAAAGGTCATGACCTGACATACCAGGGCCCCACTTGGTACCGATGATTGACAGGAAAAGGAAATAAGTTGATATCTTTCACGTGGGAATCACAGCTTGTAGCAACTATGAGCAAGTGGGCTATTTGGACTTTGTGGGAAAACTTAATTGTGTTATTATTCAAAATCTTCGTTCCCAAAGTTGGTTCAATGGTGATTTATTTACTTATGTGATAAAACAGCTGTGTACTGTAATAAAATACAGGTCACTTGCTGATGTTTAATGCACAAAAGTGGGGATATGTTTGGTTTCTTTCACTTTGAACTTACAATCACACTAGGCAGCAGGGATGACTTTGAATTATTAGGAATTTTCTGTTAGTGTATTGGAAATAATTAATGTTCTCATTGTACTATATATTCTTCAGTGCTTGGTTATGGAGAAGGAGGAAGGCACCAAACACTGAAATATGAGCGCCTCTCCACCATATGCTTTCATTATTTCTTTATAATGATAAAAAGGGGCTGCATTCAGTGCCAGACAATGTCATGGCCCCAGAGATTTCAGTGGCCTGCAGAAAAAAGGAGAAAAAAGCATTTATGATATGAATGAGGATTTGAAATGGCTTTTTAAAAAAGGCCTAAGATCCACTTTCACCCTAAATTCTGAAATCACTTGGAAGATGTCTAGATGCGAGTTTGAAGAATAGCAACTTTCCACCAGGCTCTGTTTTATGTGGAGTGTTGCTGCCATCTTCACCAGGCTTTGTTACAAGGTCACATAATTGTACCAAGCAATAGGGCACAGTCTAACTTCACATATTGTCTGATTTGTTGTAGCAATGAACCCTGTCATCTTTATCCAGAGTACATATTCTTTATTCTTTACCCCAGTCATTTACCAGTTAGCCAAGTGATGCTCGTTTTGTTTATCACTCTGAGGTGAGAAGCTGAGGGAGTTTCACACCAGCTGCCCTGTCATTGTGCCTTTCTGCTCCTTCCCCAAAGCCTGAGGTCTGGGGACAGCGTGAACTGTGCCAGACTGCAGCTCCGTACCACACTCCAGGGATCTTCTATCCTTTTGCAGAAATGCCATGCACTACCAGTTCCTGCAGGACTGTGTATGGGCTGTTGGATCATAACAGTCCATTAAAAGTCCCATTAAAGTCAAAAGTGGTTTTACCCCAGGACAGGCCACGATGGAAAAGGTTTGCACATTTCAGCTTGGTGTGACACAACAGTTTGGGTGATAAAGCAGGCGCTCCTGGCATTTCCCTCAGACTATCTCCAGTATAACTTCTTTTCCTAGTCTTTCTCATATCGTATTCCCGGTGTAGAGCAAAGCAACTCTGCTTGGGAAGCTGTGGAAACTCTACCACTCATAGCACAGTCTCCAGGAGAATTTTAAGCCTTAAAATAATCTGATTCTAACACCAATAAACAAGCATGGTTACACAGTAAATCAAGATAAAGGTTGCTTCACAGAGTAAGAACTGGTGGCATTTCTTTTGCATTGTTTTGATGTTATTCCTTTATATTTAACATTGGGCAATAGTGCATGGTATTTTACAAATAGGACAGACATCAGATCCTGCCACAGGAGTGCAATTCTGTGATAAGTAAATTATACTTACTGGCAGAGAAATTAAATTTAAAAAAAAAATAAGTCTGGGGCAATAACATACTCAAACTTGAACATCTTTCTGCAGCAATACCAACCTACTTCCTCTGAACATTTGAGCAGAAGGGGGAGCTTCTCAGGACTTTTTCCCTTGGAAAAAAAAAAGGTATGCACTTCAGGTACCTACCTGTCTTGAAAGGAAAAAGCCATGATTAACCCAAATCCAGCCATTTTCTAGAATTTATTCAATTACAAAATGGAGACACTACAAAGAGGAGACCAGTTATCACCAGAGCTGTCAAAGAAGTCCCAGCTGCAGATGTGTGGAAATGTGTCCCCTGTGTTAGAGGCTACAGTCTGAGCTTACATAGCCCAGGAAAGTGTTTAAAAATCATGATGACACTGGTTTATGACTGACTTTGTCTAGATTCAGCCTGAACATCAAGAGGCAAAAGGCTCTCTATCCCGTGCCAATTCTCTGATCTTCCCATTCCCCTCCGCCTCCCCACCTCCAGGCTCTCTGTCTCAGCAGCTCCCTGAAGTGAGCACCATGACATGAATCTAGAAGTGAAGAAGCCCACAACTCTTCAGAAAAGAGCAGTTACTCTTAGCTTTGTTTTGCTGATGTTTTTCTTTCTTCTCCCCCCCCGTTTTTTTTTTTAAGAAAACAGAAAGCCTGCCAAAATTTGGGCTCTTTGATGTGCTTTGGAAAGAAAAACAATGCTATCTATCCAAGCCCTCTGAAAGGAACATAAATATGTCATTTTAAGACATGAATTACTTGAGAGGAACAATCAATACATTTCACAATTAAAGATGGTCAAGAATTTTTTGATGTTTTGCTGGAAATTTGTTATTAAGAAATTTTCAGAGACATTTGCCGGTTTCAGTGAAACTTTCTTTGGGAAAATTTCCTGAATTTATTGTAGGTGAAAGGCAGGAGGAGGAAGAAGGGGAAAGACACTGATATTTGCTGTAGAATATTCAATAATCTAATAATATCCCTGGGAAATATTCTAGACCCCATTCAAGCTTTTCTTCTGTCAATTTGGTTTGAGTGTGTGAACCTGCCTCATCCATTTCACTCATCCTACTTTGGGATGAGTAAAAAAATGGGTCGTAAAAGCAGTATCTGTTTTGTTTTGTTTATTTGTTGATTCAGCTTTGAGTGGACACTTGCTGTATAAAACTCTTCAGCTCTAAATGAGACACTGACTTCATTGTCTCAGGAAATTTGCTTTAGATGGAAGCATCCCAGGTTGAAATCTTTGGCCAATAAATGTAGGGAAGCTTTTGAAGCTGCAACCTTATAAGTTATAACCTGGTAACTAAACTTCTGTTTGTCCTCTATTTTTGAGGTTTTTCCTCCATCACTCCAACAAATCTTGAAAGAGCTGATTTATGCAATAAGAGGTTTTGACATTTTTATTAAGTCCAGGCACTTAATAAAGACATTCTTTCTGCAATGTGATTAAACTGAGGTAAAGAAGCACTTGTGCTATTTCTCTCTTTTTATTGAAGTTTTTAACAGATTTCCTTTTTTGCCTTCCTGTGACAGTGCCTGTTGCATCCTTTACACTATCTGCTCTCACTTTCCACAGCAATGGCTGTGTGGGAAATGCATCTGCTTGTACAACTGAGCTTTAAGAGGTTTCTATTTATATCTACTATTTCTAGTCGTGTGTTTTCAAAGAAAAATAAGTAGAAAATAGACATAGACTGCAGATGACAGGACTCCTTGCTTTAGGTTGATATGAAGATGTTTGTTCTCTGACTGCCTATGCTGCAATTCTCCGTGGATTGAGATGGGTTACTTGGAAAGAAACCTAAAATGCTTTGGGTTGGAAGTGAACTTAAAGATCATTTCATTCCAAAACCTCTGCCACAGGTAGGGAAGGTCACTCCCTACCTCAAGTTCAGACTACTTACTGTGAGAAAGATAAATAGGCCTGACTTTCAGAAGAAAGGTATTGTGTATTTCTTGAAGGTTTCTTAGTTTGAATTTGAGTGTCTAAAAGTTTGAAAGTTCTACAATATCTAATCACCTTGTGAAAGTCTAGGCCAGGATTTCAGGCTTTGAGGACAGCAAGCAAATGCCTTAAATTAGAGGTTTCAATTAGAAAATATGAAATTCTCTTCTGTAACAGGAGATGTTTTAGGAGACATGGGAATAGCCAGGTGGGAGTAATTGGTTTTGGAAGAGCTGAATGTGGGAGCTCTGCCCGGAGCTTTCTTTTATTATGGCTGTTTTCCTTCCACAGCTCAGAAAAACTCATATTCATGCACAGCCTTACACTTCAGTGGGATTCCCTGACTCGGAGGCTGTCAGCATCAGCTTATTATACAAGCCCTTTGTTTTATCCTATACAATACATCTCGCTCTGCGCAATTTGGCCTCTTAACCTGCCATGAAATATTTCAAGGGCTTGTTGCTGGAAGACATGTCTCTCCTCGCTGTGATTTGTGCAGCCGTGGCTGCATTTTCATGACAGCTTATAATGATTCGTGGTGGGTTGCAATACAATGAACTCATGCTGCAGAACAGCACACTGAAAAAGATCTTTCAAATTATTGTTCCGGTGCAAAAGGTGCCCAATCACCTTCCACCTGCGGATTAGTTGGTTGCTATAGGAACACACTGTAGCTTTTCAGTAGCTCTGCTACTGTAGTGCCCAGATTACTGACTCTGACAAACACAATAGGGGAAAAGAATCACGGGTTATTAGTGCTGCTGCTGATGTGGTCTTATAAACCTGGGGTGGCATAGAGCGGATGAATAGAGCAACAGCCTTGAAATGCGAAGGACGGGAGGAGGAGAGGGAGCAGAGTGAAGTGGAGCTAAAGTCACCGCTACGGAAATGTTGTCTTTGATCTTATTTTCCATTCTGAATAGATATTTTCATAATATAATGCCAAATGCAAGCAATACTGTAACTGACGGCCACTGGTCATGTCTTTATGTTAGTAGGGGGCTACTCCTCCCTCCCTTCTCTTTTCTTCCAGTGAGTACTGAAATCTGAACCTTTTCATTCCTGCAGGATTAACTCTGACCAAGGTCAGAGCAACTAGTCACCAATATTCTTCACGGGTGAGTCTGGCCTCCTGCACCCCTGGAAAATATCACCTGAAACATCGACCTACGCACCGGACTTGAACAGGGAATCTTGCAGTGTCAGAAACAGGTAGTGAATAGCTGAGATCAGGTCTCTGTCTACTCTGGTGGCCATAACTGAGTTTACACCGCTGAGCAAGCTCCTGCAGAGTGAGCTGCCTGTGTGCTTCAGAGGGGAGAAATAACTGCTTGCAGCTCTGATTTGTAGATGGTCTAAAACTCCCAGAAATAGTTTTGCTACCACTTGTGCTTGGGCAGGGTGAAGCAAAGGAATAAAATATATACTTGTCCATTGCTTGTGTGCCTTGAGCAAAACAAGCTGTGTTTAGTCACAAGTTCACCAGATGGTACTCTGGGGGTTATTGCTGTTATATTACATTACTGCAATATATTAGACAAGGCACAGTGATTCATTCTCTCTCCTCATCGCTTTTGGAGGCTCTGTTTCCCTCCCTATGGAAGGACAGCTGACCCTGCTGCTCATGGCCCTGGAGACCCGTGTAGGCTCCTGTTGGTGCCCGTCCACCATGGACAGGAAGCACCAAACATTGCAGCACCAGTGACAGCACCAAACATGACAGAAGACGTGGCTTGGACTCATCTCTGTGCCCAGAGAAGTGACTCCACTTTCTGATTAGCCAGATGATTTGTAACATTATTTTTTTTCAACACTGACTGCCTCCTCCCTCCTTCTGTACTCCTACCCCACTTGTTTTGCCTTCTCACTGGACCCTCCCCGACCTCATAATTGGACCCATGTGACCCTCTAAGCTGGGAAACCACTTGTTCACAAAATGCACTGGAGCACTGTACTTTTAGAGCCTAAGAACCATCAAAACACCACACAGAGGCATTGTTTCTCTCCACTTCTGCTACTCTGTAGGCTCAAACCCTCAGTCAAGTGAGTTATGTGCTGACTGACACCTAAGAGCCTGTGCTGGATTGGTGCCACATGTGCATGCAGGGCATAGGTGCTGCTGCTGGTCAGCTGGACAGCCCCTGGGACCATCTGGCACCCCTCTTTGGCCTCCCTGTCTCCACCATTATGTTCACTGACCAGCTGCTTTTCCTCATTGCCCTTGACAAAGCTTCCCAAGCCACCATTTCCCTTTGCTACGAGAGGAGACAAAGAAATGTCTCAGCCGTTCTCCCTCTCCCAGTGGCCTTGAGCTTCTGGTGCCCCAAGGGCCTGCCCTGGTTCACAGGTTGCCTTCTGCTCTCCAGCACTGCTCTCACAGTGCCAGGACACTGACTTTAGCATCCCCAATGCCTTCTTGCTCTCTCAAGATTATCTATTTTTCTCCCACAGATTAATGAATCCGTGAGCAATACAAGGACAATCGATGACAAAACTTGTCTGAGGCATCTGAAGGAGTGAGGAAACAGGTTGGTCTGAACATGCTTGGATCAGAACTTTACCACAGGTGTTACTGTAATTTCAGGCAACTTGAAAACTGCAAGTTGGGCCCTCTGTCACTTAGATTATGCTTTTCATTTTATAAGCCTCTGGAGGAAAATTAATTTCCTGGGCTGAACTTCTGTCTGCAAATTTAGAGGGACAGAACACACTCTGCCTGTTTAATTTTAAGTGGCTTTAAATGGAAATGGAGAGAAACACCTAACCAGGGAAGTATGAAAACGTAGCTTCAATAAAAGAATGGGAAAATCTTCCATCACCATCATCATAGGTATGTATGACCCTAGCAATGCTCAGGACTCCTATGGGAGCAACACTCCCGTTATGCCTTATTTTTTTATCAACAATGTTCTCCTCCACTTTGACGTCAGCTTCAAGATTGCTTGCTATGATGTGCTGCACCTTTCATATTTTCTTTGCAGTCATAATATTGCTTCAGCTGTAACCTCAGCACTTTGAGGAATAATTGTCCCTGACAAGGGGGTGAATCACTGGCAGAGAGTTGATAAGCATTACATACAGATGACAGAAGTCAGGACATATCGGATTACTGCTGTGAATATAATAAAAGAGCGCCTAAACACTTTGGCAGCTCAAAGACAAGCCATTTCATAACTCTCTAGTGGGGCTATTATCTTCCATTTACTGCCACTGATAACCAGGTTGCAACTGTCTCCCTAGGATCTAGTTACAATTCACTTAACACTTAGAGGACCAGACATATTGGAGGACACTCAGATGAGGATAATTTCTTAAAGATCATTTATTTTTAAATTTTTATCTTACTTGCTCCCCTCTTTATAGTGCGATAAGAACCTAAATCAGGAAGCTTTGAACTTCTTTCGGGAAAGGAGAGTTCATGGTCATCTTGCCTTTAATCTTTTACTCCTGAGTTTCTTTTGAAGCCATTCATATCCAGCTGAATAAGTGACAAGCAGGTTTCCACCTCTGTTACTCTTGTAATACATACACCCAGATCTAAAAGCTTGTTCCAATGCTGACTCCATTAGGTTTACATGTAGGACTTATGTTTTTGTTTTTGTAGCCAGGAAGGGGCACCTGAGCCTACAAACCAGGGGGTGTTGGTGCGTATCAGTAACAGATAATTCACGGTGTGCCAATTACAATCCACATTTGATGGAGTTTGGATACAGATGATATTTATATGCACTGTGTAAGATTTTGTTTCTAAACCTCAGTACCTAAGATGAGTTTAGCACTTCATGCTCCTAAATATCAAAGTTCTCTCTTTTAGGTAAAAGAAAAAAAATTATTTTGCTATGGCAGAAATCTGGCAAATCACCAGTGAGTCTCCTTACTATCCAGCACACCACTGAGAAATATTTATTAAGCTTGGGAATGAAACCCTCTCCATGTGAAGGGAAACTCTATATTCTGCAGAACTTTTCTCCTGAAGCAATACCATGAGCAGCAAATGTAAGCCGTGCTCAGCTTTCAACATATGAGGTGTTTTTAGATGCAGAAAGCTGTTTCACCCTTTCTCAGGCTGAAGACATGTGCATACATCTGTAGATGGGAGCCTTATTTTTTAAGTTTGGTTGCATAAATCCATACATGGATTCTAGTCTGCTAGAGCCCCCTTCACACAGCCACTGGGGAAGAGTATCTTTGCCAAAGATGGATCAGGACAACGAGAGGACTTTTGAGACAACTCGGAGGTTGCACATTTATAAATGTACCCCTATATCCCAGGTAAAAGTGCTCTTCTCACATTCCCATCACTGGAGGCTCTGCAAAGAAACGTCTCCCTACATGTGTTTGAAGAGCCAGATTTGGTGAACTTGGAAGTAAAACATCCTACCCCCTTTACTACTTAGACCTTTATTCCCCAGTGTGAACTTTATGTCTTAGCTGGCTAAAAATAGATCCTTCCTGCTTTATATAAAACACAAAAAATTTATTTGGAGAGAAATAGTACCAGGCTTTCTTAAACTACAAATAATAAGCAATGCTTAAAATTGCTTTTTCAATATGATTTGCATCCCTGCTTGATTTTTCATGGCACAAGCCCTCTTCTGCTGTAATAAAGGACAACAGCGATTAAGGAGGGAGAAAAAAGGTTCAGTCATCATCAAAACGTAATTCCAAGTGTTTTCTCATCAGGACTTCTGGATCTTGCCACTAACTTTCTAACAGCCAGGGAAAACCAGTTGAATCCCTCCTGTCCAGCTTTATCCAGCTGTAAAATAAGTGTGATCAATCTTACCTGCCCAACCATTTTGTCACGTGGTGCAACCAAGTAATATCTGTGAATTGCTTTAAGATGTTGAGATCAAGGGAATGATGGAAGTGCCAAGTGTTGTTGTTGTTATTGTATTAACAATGTTGGCTGTTTTCACTGTTCATATGGTAGCCTGGCTGGAATTGGGCAGGAAGCCCAATAATACCAACAACTAGCAAGAAACTAAAATAAAATGTTTTACTTAATGAGCGCCTCTGTTTAATCAGAAGCCTGTGTAATTATGTCACAGAGGGCTAAGGATCTAATGTTTTCCTAATACATTTGCTTTTAAAGGGACGATTAACCCGGCATATTTCAGGATGATAAGATGCTTCTTTGTTCAGTTCCAGTTATTTTTTTCTGCATTCCCTGGTGAGTCCAGAGAGAATCTGAGAGTCAGAGGATTGTTCTTAATTGCACAATAACTATCTTGTATGTCTGATGCTGGAGTATTTTCTAAAGACACAGGTTATTAGTCCTGGGTTGGATGGGTTTGCAAGAGAATTCAGATGCTGAATTTATTCTGGTTTGGCTCCTCTGAGGCATGGCATACATTACAGAAAGCTCTCAGTATTTCTGCCTGAAACAGTCAATATTCTTAGCAGGCAGTTTGATCAGGAAGAAGGAATAAAACTATGCCTTACCTTGAAACAAATAAATCTTGGTTTAAGTAGTAAAGATTGACTTCAGTTTACTTCTAAATGGTTTGTTTCCACACACATCTATGCACAAGTGTGTCCAGTTAATTCTTTTCAAATGTTTTGAAGAGAATAATGAGAAAAGAAGCTCTTCATCTCCTAAACACCACTGTCTTAAGATGCTAAACATCAGTTTGCACTGAGATTCTCAGAAAGAATTTATTTATGCTGCATGAGATGGAGGGAATGATTTTATGTCATATACATGAGATTCTCTGATCTACCTCTCTGTGAGTAGGTTAGCTAAAATGCATTTTGTCCATACCTTAGAGGCATTTGATCATTTCTGTTCTTAAAGATCTAAGTGTGGAAGACCCCATGGACCCCCCAGGGAATTTATCCCAGTACTTTGCCAGTAAGGACATCAGCTAATATCCAAGCAGGCTCTTCCTTGTCCAGTTTTGGATTGCCATGATGAGGATGGAAGACACCCCACTGCCTTCCTCTTTCTCTTGCAGGTAACCTCATACATGAATTTTTGTGTGTTTATAGTGTGATGACATTTACTGGGTATTTGTTCAAAGTCTTTTACTACGTAGTTTGTGTTTAAGTATGGTAGTCCTACATATTCTTTGATTGCTGTAAATTACTTTTAAAAGAAAAAAAAGAAAGGAAGCAAAAAAAGATGTACCTCCTTTTGTATCAGCTATCAGCCACATGGGAATTTGGTAGGAAGGAAAGAGTTAATAATATTATTATCAGGTCAGCAACTTTGAAAGGCTCTTCCACTTTGGAAACCATTTTCTTAATTATTTTAAGTTAACACTTAAATGCATAGAAAAAAATCACGTGTAATCTGAAACCCCAGACATGGGGACAGGACTGGATTGAGATAACATTAAAGATTTTATTGCTGTTACATTATAAATTATTTCTATTATGACGGCCCTATGGGTATTACATTCTGTCAGTTCGCTTTCACTGTTACATCACTTAATGTTATTAACACACTTTAGCGTATAACATTACAGTTTTATTGTGGAAACCTTAAACACTTACATCCAAAGTACTGAATCAAGTTATTATCCTAGCTGACCAGATCTGGTCTATTATCATTTTATCACTCATAAAAACCTGTGATTCAATTTGATTTAACACTTGAGGAAAAATCATGGCTCATATATGCTTAAACATAGTTGCAATATTAATACAAAGCAACACATGGATGACTTCATTTTATTAAAGTTGAGGTAGCCCTGGGAACTGCATTTATGATCTTTATGCCACACGAGAAATTTGATCTGACCTGTTGCCATTTGTGACTCACTAGTAAACTGATAAGGTTTTCTTACCAGTATATTAAAGAACTGTGAATATTTTACCTTTCATACTGCTTTCATTGTACACTCAGAAACCGTACATTGATCACAGTGCCCTAACCAAGGAAAAAGGTATCTCTCCTTTCTTGGAGTCTTACCTTGCAGACTGGAAAAATTGTTGCACTTGGGAAGGAGATACGTGCTCCACTGAGTTTAATATTAGAACAAAATTGGCACCTTGTTTCTGTGTTTGGAAACTTTTCTCTGCAAAACAACTCTGTTGTCTTCTGTATAGTTCAACAAAGCTCTTTAACACTTGCATGATGTTTAGAGGGAGAAGTTCCACTGAAGTCACTGGTTAGCATTGCACAGACACTTGATTTTTGGTTTTGGTTTGTTGCCTGAGTTTGCTGGCACTGCCTGAAATATTCAACATCTTACTTAGGTTATCTGTTTTATCTCTTAAGGAGAAGGCCAAGAATTGTGTGTGAAACTTAAAATGTCTTTTGGAAATTAAAAATGAGGATGTTTTAAATTTTGAAAATGTCAAAATGAAACGGTTCATACATTTCTCTTCAGTGGGAGGAAGAAGACAAGACTACACCGGTGTGGAACAGCAGTGCTGAATGACCTTAGCAAGGAGTTCTGCTCCTGCAGCCCGATTGCCACTGAGCTCAGAGGAAAGGAGTTTGCTCAGCCCAACATCCAGGAGTTCACTGACATTCCCAAGGCAGGAGGGTGGACTCACTGAACCAACCAGTCCTGCTCTGGCATGTGCACAAAATCCCCCACCCTAGCAACAAAGATGACAGCCTGGTAACAGCAGCTGCTGCTTAGTGGAAAACATTGGAAAAATAACTTGTTCTAGATCTGTGTTCCCTCTTTGCAATTTCCTATTTATCATTAAAAAAAAAAAAAGTGTTCTAAGAAAACCCACCATCCAGAACTTTAAAAAGCTTTAAGGTGTGAGGGTCAGACACACAGGTGCACAGGCAAAGAGCTGAGCTCCAAAAGCCAGGAAAAATGTGACCCTGTATTTCCAACACACGTTGTCTTTTTTAGCCAAAGCTAAATTGTTTTCCACTGAACAAGTGGGCCTGTCTTGTGGGAGTGGGGTATATGTGCAACTATTTATTCTTGCACCAAATGTGAAGGAAGGCCAAACATGACCAAATGTGTGTTAAATTCCAAGTCAGCATTTTTTGGTTATTACTGTTTGAAGTATCCCTGTTTCTGCTCAAAGCCGGGCTCACTGGATAGGAATTAGTATCCTAACAAAAGCAAACCACTGCCTCTGGTAAAATCTTCCCCTTTTTATTTTTTAATAAAAGCAAACTCCAGTTTCTCTTTTTTTCTTCTGTTGCAAATGTTCTTGAAAATTCCAATGAAGACATAAAGACAACTCTAAAGCAGCTTCCCCTGGTAAAAACCAAATCAGAGTAATGCTACATCACCATGTGAAATAACAAATTAGGTGGAGAGACATTAACTAGTGCCATTCATCAGCCTGAAGTGATACAATTTATTACAGGATAATAATGACCATAGTTGTATAAGTAGTAAAGGTAAAATTACATCATGACTTGCATTAGCAGTATGAGATTATATCCTGATTAATGCACAATTAACTTGTCACGGGTACAACACATGTGTTTGTAGGTGGCCAGATGGGTTACACCATGTCTTATGCTCACATATGTAACATTTATCACTTTCTCCTAACTTTCTCCTATATCTCCAGAAATTAGATGGCTACATCCACTAAAATCTTTAGACATCTCACTGCCTTAATGCAGAGCCATCTAAAGTCACAATACGACTAAGAGACCTTTAGAGGTGAGCACTGGGAAATCTTAAACATGTGCATGAGTCCTGTTCTTTTCCATAGATTGGGAATCTCATCCGTAGTTCCAGGGAGACACCTCCAAGGTGAGAGCAACAACTTTAACTGCTCTTCTACTAGCAGGCACCAGTCACCTGAACTGCTTTCAGAGCTGTATATCACAGCTCCTACTCCCAAGAGAAAGCTCCCAACACTCTAAAATGTACATGAAGAATTCCTTTACTCCTTTTTAATTCTAATTTTGCAGGAGAAATAATTAAGCTACAGGGCCAGGTGAGAAGGATTATTACTTTTAATTGCAATTACTGATGGAGGTGCTTCAGCTTCGCCTGAACTCCTCTTTAGATGCAGAACTGGGTAATTTGTCCATGTGCTGACATGCAGGTTTGCCTGTCCATACTCTCCCTCCCTCTGTTATTTTTTTTTTGTGTTGAGTGTGTGTGTGTGTGTGTGATTGCACATCTGGGTGTGTGCAAACGTGTATAAAGTAGCAAGGTAGTTGAAGGGAAACAAAAGGCCTCCGAGTTTTAATCTCTGTTCTGTCACAAAGTTGGTGTTTGTCTTTGAGAAGCTCATTTTAATTTATTTCTCTTACAGGTTTCTCAATGGGAAGTGGGGAGGAGGGATATTACGTTGTTGTGCAAGCCCACCTCACACTGTACATGATATTCACTTAGCTGTTTGAAGTTACAAATTGCTGAATGATGACAGAACATAACTTCTTAAAATAAATGGCATCAGATTTTTTTTTTTGCACACTTTTTAGTACTGAAATCTACCAGAAAAGGTTGTCTGACTTTGATCCTTCCTGTGCTTTATTTTCATGTTTGATGGTACCCTCTGGTTCCAACAACAAATGATGGTCATTTTCCAGCAGTTTCAATATAGAAGCAAAAGCTTTTATAATAAGGAAAAAATCTAATCATTTTGTTGTCTAGAAATGTCTTTTCCAGCTGACAATATTGAGTACTTGGATATAGGGCAACCAGCATTTGGGAAATGCAGATTTTGAGTCCCAGTTGTGCACATCATTGGTGTTCAATGTTTGGATTCAACTATTAGAATAATTTTATATTCTTCAGAATTACTTCTGCTGAATAGAATTTAGCAGAGTATAAATATTGTTTGAAGTCTGCATGGCTACAAAATACCCTGTTTGTTAGCAAATGAGTTCCTAGGAAACATGCTTGTATCAAACAGTTCCAGGACAGACAGTGCAGTTCATCATTTCCATCCATGAGGTTTTTGATTCTGGGATGATTAGCTAAGTTTATATTGAGACTATGTAGCTAAGATTATTTTAGATTATATTTCTCCTGTCTAGAGTAGACATTTGACTCTGTACTCTATAAGGAGCCTACCTTTGTCATTAGAAATTCACTTTATTATGACCTAGTCTCCATTTTCAGGATATCCTGTTGATGCTACAAAGAACTAGCCAAGACTTCGTTTACGCAAGTAAAAATGAAAACTGACATCAGCATCTATTTGAGATTTAAGCTGTGATATAACAAAATTCAAATAAGTTTTTATATTAGCATTAAGTCTGTGTTTGAGTGCACACTAGGCCTTAGACCAGAATCTGGTGTGTTCCCTTGAAAATGTAACTAAAAATTCATTTATTATTAAAAATAAAATCGTTCTCTCTCATCCTTCAGGATTGGTTTGTGTGTCTCTTGAAGTACTTCAAGATGACAGAGGAGAGAGTCTTTCAATTGCACTACCTGAAATAACTGACTTGCTCTTCACCTGAAAGAGTGAATTTAAGATTCAGTGATACATCAATGCTTACAATGGCCATGGGCAAAGGCAGGAGGAAAACAGTTAATTTCCTTTGTTAGTAAACTCACTAATAAAAAGAATTGTCAAGTCTGAAAATGTAAATAGAGTAGACTTGGGGCATGTTGGGAATTCAGGCAAAATACTTTGGGTTGAAGTAGTTAATTGGCAAGTCTGAAGCATTTCAATGTGAAACCATAAAATATAAATGAAAAAAAAAAAGGCAATTACATTTGAGACAGATGTCCACTTCAAACACAGAAACTGAAAAAAAATCCCTAAATTGAAAAGCCCCATTCATGCCATTCCTTGGATAATGTTTTGAGGAGAAAAAAAAAAATAGTCCAATGGATTTTGCATTCCAAACAGGTATTCTTCCCAAAACAAGAAGTTTTGGGCAGAACTTCATCCAAGCACACAATTAGTTTTTGCTGTTGTTCAGAAGACATCACAGCTCACAGAGAACCAGCATAATCACTGGCTCACACCTGTGTTCATTCCCAAATTACCCTCCAAAGGCTGGAGCCCTCCCAAAGCAGACACAGGTAACTCAGCCGCAAATCCCTGGTTTGCCCTCTGAGCAGTTCCCTACAGATAAATTAGGGGAAGGCACGCTGTGCGGGAGGCACCAGCTCCACTGTCTGGGAGGGCTACACACTTACTACTTAATTTTGCTTTTTGAAATTCCCTCTCAGCCCCCATTATTGACGTCTAGGCAGGAAGCCTGTGCGAGCTGAAGGGATCTGACATCCATGACTAAGACAGTTAATGCGCCTCGTCACAAAGCCACGAACGCGAGCCAGGTAGCAGCTCGCCTGTTTGCATTACAGAGCAGAAATTGGAGGGGTTTGGGGTGCATCCTTCAAGCTTCAGGAGCTGCTTTGCAATGTTTTTGAGCAGAGAGCATGCAAGGCAAACACAAGAGATTATCCTCCCCCCCACACCCCCCTCCAGTCCCCATCAGTCCCCAGCCCAGCCTGTAATTTGGCAAGATGAATGAAGTGTTTTCGGAGTGTCATCACTTCTGCCTCTGGCAGATTTGCTTCCCCAGTCTGCCTTTCGCCTTTTGGACCTGTCACTCAGCCCTTTGGCAGAGGGGAGGAGGGGGAGGGAGGAGGAAATCATCTCTTTGCTAATCACCTATCACAAGCAATGAAATCCCGCAGGCTCCGTGCCAGCTAGGTACATTTCAAAGGGAAATGGAGGGGGGCAAAGTGTCACTCAAGGCAGATATTTATGAAAGATGACAGTTTGCAAATATCTCAATCTTGGACAAGGCTGCTCCAGTGACACAGAGGAGTGTTGCAAAATTGGAAGAGTCAGCAGCCAACATTTATTTCATCAGGACCTGTCCAATCTTCAGTGATCGCTTGACAGTCTGGGGATTGCTGGCACAAGCCGGCCTCTTTCCATTGGTTGCTTTCCTTTAGTTTGCATGGATCAGTCTAAAGAGTTGTAATAAATATGTAAAGGAGGATAAGAGGAGTAGTTTTGCGGAGCCGCATCCTCAATGGGAGAGCCGGCACAAAGCTGCGCTCCCCTTTTTAGCTATGCCAAATAGCAGCAGTGGTAATTACATCTCTATTGATCTCTCCTGCATGGGAACAATGAGATACAGGCCCCATCTCGCTCATGGGGACCCCCCACGACTCCCAAGTTCTCCCCATTGCCACAGCAGCTGCCACGGCAGCAATGGCTTCTCTGAGGGACTTGTCTCCTGTCACCCCCTGGCTATGGGGGTAGGAGAGGAGAGATTCCCCCTCTCCCCTCCGGGCTGGTGAATGAGCATGGAAAATTTGCTAATTGTGCAGGAATGAGGTGAGTGATCTAGAAACTCATTTCCACAGCTCTGAGTGGGCTGAGGAGTTCACCTGGCCCCTGCTATCCACACCCTGAGGTAACTGCTGCCAGCTGCCAGCACTGAGTGCTCAGTCAGTGGGAGGGCTCCAGAGCCATCAATGTGCCAGCACTGGCCATTGTAAGGGTATATTTCCTCCCCGTTTCACTCAGCTCCCTGAGAGAAGAGTTTGTGGGTGCTGGTTTGGGCCATGGAGGTTGACTTGGACAAAAAAAGCTGCATGAAGTTCCTCAGGTAGGACAGAGGGCGTGGGAGTACGGTCACCAAAGGGAGGGAGATGGGCTCAGGGTTAGAGAACTGAACAGGTGGGAGGAGGAGGAGAAGAAACAGTGGAGAGGAGCTGTGTTCACATGCAGGGGAATGGGACAGAGCAGGGCAGTGAGATGAGGACCACTGCTGGACTGTCCTGTGTATGCTGTGAGAGCAGGGAAAGGCACATCCCGGTGCTCTTGCTGTCAACTATCCAGCAGAGAAATGTTCCTATGGGTCACATTCTAGCACAGCCTCTCTGCCTTGTTCTATAGAATCTGTGGCTTAAAGCTTTGAGAACCTGAATCTCTGAACATAGGGTATGTGCTTCTGCTTTTTAATTGCCCCTGTCATTTTACTTGCCCATTCTACAAACTAATTCAGGGGACAATAACACAAAAATGTTGTCTCCTATAGGAACCAGAGCACTACAGATTGAATTACTCAGCTGTGGGCTGAGAAGCAGGACACAGTTTCTGAAATGCTGTGCTAGAAAGGTCTAAAGTAAATGCAGTTATTGACAGCAGCAGAGGAACCAATGCAGCTGTTGGCACAAAAACTGGAATTTCCAAGGGAAGACATTTCCTTTCTTATAACTAACAAAGAGTTGTAGATTATAGTTGGAATAGTCCTATCTCAATATTCACTATTTCCGTGGGCAAATATAAGGCCTAAAAGGAGAGGCTGATTCAGCTACTTGCTATGTGGTGTTTTCTTGCATCTTATGCACTAAGGGTATGTGTGTGTGACTCATGGGGAGTAACATGGATGGAGGTGGATTGTGTTAGCAGAATGCAAAACTGCTCTTCTGTTTTAGGGTTTTAGCAATTCAATTGAAATGGATCTCGAATTCAATTAAAGGCCTTGTTCTTCCTTTCTTTATGCTTTGCATATCTCAGAGTTCTGCATAATTTAAGCTAAACTGTGGCAAAAACCAGCATCTTTATTTTAGTCATCAAAAAGTAAGTGTTTTCTCTGGGATCTCTGGAGTTCAGTAAAGATGAACATGGGTGACAAGTGATAAGATGCAAGAGAGCTCCTGATGCCTGCTTTTAGTCTAGTATATTCTAAGACAGTAGATAACTCATGGATGTCAGTAGGACTCTCCAAAATTAATAGTGAAAGGAAAAGAAATGCACCAACAAATCTGCTTATTGAGAGTCCAACAATGAGAAGTGGGAGTATTCATCAGAAGTTCTTAGAAGGGCAGCTTGCTTTTCATAAACAGTTCAGTGGTGTTTACAGGTGTGCTGAGGCCAGTACACTTGTGATATAGACCCTAAGGTTAATTTTACTTTGGCAGAATGGTAAAAGTTGCAGTTGTCTGCATTGTTTGCTGTGTTAGCCTGTTCAAACTGGCATGGAGAATCCTCCTCCACAAGTTTCTCCCTTGGCCTCCCCTGGCAGCCCACTGAGAAGCTGATCAGCTGAGTGGGCTGAGATAGGGGTTAGCACCCTCCCTTCACTCTGTTGCAAATATCTTTGCCAAAACAAATTATTCTTACCCAAGGATTCTTGGGTAAATCTTCCATCACTGGGGGAAAAAAAATGAAGTGCTATAAAAGGCTAGTTAATCACTGCATACCCTGCAAGGAGCAGAAGGCCATTCCAGAGTAATTGGAGTTATGTTCATTATTCTTATTTTCAATTACATTTCAAAATCAAATAACAACTTGCCTTTTAGACAGTTTCATGATCTAAATCCCACTCCTATAATTTTTACTTAGTGCTTACTTATACAAAAGTTCTCCTTGATTGTAATAGGCTCTTAGCTCCTGGAAGAAACTTGCTGGAAGAAAGAAATTAAAAAAGTTTGGTCTTTGAAATAGCAGAATCCCAAGCTGTCCACACAAATGCACATGTAGTTATTGTAAGTCACCTGTCCTGTTATTTAAATCTATATTCAAATAACTGCTTTTCAGGTGCCGTCTTGACACCAATTAAATGCACAGCTGTGCATCTGTTCATGTATAGGGCTCGATGTGCTGTAACTCAGGCCATTGCTGTTACTGCAGAGTAGGCAGAATAATTCTTAATAATTATTAAACAGCAGATGAAAAAAATTAATGGCTGCATCTAAACTATGTGAAGCAGGTGCACAGGTTAGTAGTTTAGTGGCCTTCATGAAGGTGGTTGGCTGTGCTCTGGTTCAAGAGCTGGTGGATTAATGTTATACTGGAGTGTGCAGGGAATATGTCCTCAGAGGATTTTTGGTCTATGGTGCAATGTAAGAATTGTGGTTATCCTCCAGATAAGGATACCAGGCTGCTGACAGTGTTGGACACATCTTTCTTGTGAGGTTTCTGGTTATTTTTCTCAAGTGTCCCTATAAAGAGGAGTCTGCACATGCACAATTATCTCGATGTACATATATCCTTATGTCATCACTAACCATCCTGGCAAGAGGGACACCAGGTAGTAAAAAGGTGCTTCTGCTTCTCAAATCAACAGAATTCCATCTCTTCTGAAGGCATAAAAGTGATCCAGTCTACAGAAAGTTGTGTGCCTGCATGTGTCTTCATACCACATGCTTAGTCCTCTGAAATATCTCTTGCCTTGCAGGAAGGAAGGTACTTCAAAAAAAAAAAAAGAAAAAGGCAAAACCCACAACCAAAACTCTCAATGTTATTCAATGGAATTCATCCCACAGGACAGGAATTCCCATACAGGTCAGGGAAAAAAAAAATACCACCTCCTTTTCTGAATATCACTTTTCATATGGTAAATCCCTCAGAGTCTTTATTGTGGAATGAA